TTGAGAGTGAAAGGTCTATTTTATCTAAGTTTAAGTTATGTGTCCCATCTCTTATGAGGGACAATATGGTCTTTCTTGTAACTCTATTATTTGGAATAAATACAAGTGGGTCGGCTAGGGAGAGGTGATTTTTTCCTCTCTTCTAGTCTGACCGAACTCTTCTCTTCTTCTTCTTTCTCTTTCCTTTCTTCATCTCTACTTCAACCTAGAATAGAATAGGGTTTACTTACAAGAATCAGTGTAAAACGTCATCAGTGTATAAAGTGACCGTTGCTTTTTTGAAAATAGTAATGGGTGGAAGAGTGTAAAGTTTTACATCGATAAAAACGATGTAGTTTTTACATTGATTATCGATGTAAAACTACACTCCATCCAAACACACGCAAAACTGAACCAGAGTGTAGTTTTACGTCAATAATAATTGCACCCTCTTTCCAAACACATACAAAACCAAACTGATGTAAAATTTACATCGCATCCAAATGCAGCCTTGGGGGAAAAAATATTCCAATAGACCAATACTTTGTAAAATCTTCCCAGTTTTCCAAGTACAATACTACATATTTCTTTTCAGATTCAAACCTTTGCATTCCTATATGTGTGGATACTCAAATGCTTCAAATTCTAAATTAAAAAGAATACCTTTTTAATCAATGCCTCCCTGAGTTCAGGAAGACCTTCATCACCACCATAACGACTGATTGAAGGCTCCCATACAATTTCTTTGACCTTTTCCAATGCCTGCTTAGGTGGTTGCCAATAAACTACCCCCTACATAATAATGCCACCAAAAGAGCAAGCCCAAATTATTGAAGCATTATACTGAACAAACAATATACTTTGCAAGGATACAGGACCATTCAATAGGGTCTCAAATTGTCAGATCAACACATGACAATCAGCAAAATTTGATTAAACTTGATAATTTGAAACGAACTCTGTGAACCTTTAAGTAACATATATGTTAACTAGATAAGCAATTTGTCCATACAGCACTTCCCTTAACCATAAATATGTATACAATGATTCTTGATTATGTTAAAATTTCAAGTTTCAAGCACAAATAGCATGAGGCAGGGGTCAATTTGTCCAAATTCCTCTTTCTTGATATGATTGCATTCTTTCTTATAATTTAAGCTGAATTGTGTAATGCTCACAGTGTTTTAAAAGCGCAAGGGGCAGGGGTCAATTTGCACCTGAGGCGCACGCCTTTTTAAGCAAGGCACAAAAATTAAAAAAGAGACAAAATGCAAAAAAAATCAAAAAATTATTAAACATTATATTAATAAAAATATAAACTTTAATTTTAAAATAAATATTTTAAAAAACCTATTATCTAATATTAAAATACATAAACATAACATGTAAAGCATATTCAAATGAGAATATAAAAATAAAAGCAAAGATATAAAACATTTTCAAGCATATAACTCACAATCTCTTTTTTTCTCAATTGCATTACTTCAAGTAGCTAATGTGATGTAAAACATATTACATTCCTAATTCTACGAGCTGCCTTACCATGCCCCTCGAGGCAAGCCCAAACAAGTCCACATTAGGTCTTAAATTCTTAGTTCCCACACAAAAAATAATGATTTATAGTTTTAATTTGCTTTTTAATAAGACATTTTATTAGGATGAAAGAATGAACAACATTACCAAATAGGGGTTCTAATACTTCCACTTCATTCCAAGTCCTTGGCAGAGCAAGCAACCCTATGGCATCCATTAACTTTGTCTACTGAAAGAATTTTAGGAAGTTGATGGATATAATTCCACAAATAAGGTCTCACATAAAATGATTGGGAACCCAGAAAGTAGTATGGGCAAAAACTGATAGAGTGGTTGGCAATGGCAATAACAAGCACTCCTACGGTCATCCCATGAACTCAGACCATCACAGAATATAACAGAAGATAGCAATTCCAAATAAACTAACACCAATTACAAACCGTTCTAAAAACGAAATTAATGAGCGCCAAGTGAGACAGCGCAATTAAAACAAACCTGAGCCAATGAGATCGAACCTTTGGCACCCCGAATCAGCTCTTGTATCTGGAGAGTGGAGAAACAATAAATCATTCCTCGTCATCGTAAACCATTAAAAATTGAGAGAGAGATAGAGAGAGATCAAATGAAAATAGACTGCAATTGAATTCCCAAATGAAATCTCAAAAACAACAATCAATTGGCAAAATCATTTCTGTGTTTTAGGTTAGCAAAAACCCTAATCGTTCGATACCTGAACCATGACCGGCATATCAGTCTCCAAAGCCCTCTTTGCAAGCTTCGCATACGTCCCCATCTCTTTTCCTTCTCTGTCTCTCTGTCTCTCTGCTCCTCACTCTCTTTCTCTTTCTTCCTACCAATTAAAGCTACTAAAAATGGGCTCCAAGCTTCTATAACCCTAAAAAACAAGCCAACACTGGAAGCGTATCGCCCACCTAAATCAATAAAAAGTGGAATTTCGTAAAAGCCGAGTCACCAAAAGGAGAAAAGCAAATACGCTTTTCAGCCACCCCTCCCGTAAAGTGCTCAGATAAGCTTCAGGGAGACCCGTAGACCTTCACCTACTCAACAACCCCCACCAAGCAGCCATCATATGGGAGGACTAGAAGAGAGGCCCCCAAAAGCATAAAAAAGACTGAATCAACCTTTCAAGCCCTCTCTTCGTTTATTCACTTTTTTTTTCTCTTCGAATTGTTTTCTTGACTTCTCTACCGCCACCAACTCTCCAGATTACCAGAAGCAGACAGAACGGATAGAGATTAGAAAAGATCAAAGCTCTCTTTTCATATCGTTTATACTAATAAAAGAACACCCACTGCCCTCTATAGATGGAGACAGAGACGTGTTCCTTTTCTCCAATTTCTCCTCACCTTAATATATATTAAATAAGGAATCGTCAGACCAGTTGGAGAGAATCTCGAACGTGCGCTAAACGAATATTATATTTAATTATTCATACAAATAACAAAAAGGAAGAAAAAAGAGTTCTTCCTTGTACAACTCGGGCTTTCATCTGAATTAGAGTGAGAATTTATCCAAGAAAAAGACTAAATCAAAACCTGCTCGGGAAGGGAATAGTCAACTCGAATTCAAGCTGACCTAACGCAAATCGACATCTATTCTTCAGAATTAGATTTTCCCAGCTTTTGCTAGCAGGTCTGCGATCTGAATTCCAAAATAAAGAGAGGAGAAGCGAAAGGGGGATTTTTCGGTAGAGAATGTGCTATCCTCCGTACTATTGGATCGAGAGATTTATCTTCGAGTGAAATCGAATAAATTCCTTGGCATTTAATCGGAACCTCAGAAATGAAAAATTAGACACTTTTTTCGCTTGGTCAGATGATTCTCCCGCTCTCCGGTGTGAGAGAGAAAGACTTATTGATGAATACCGACAAACCGAAGGTCGGAGTTGCGTGTGCTTTTCTTTTGTGGGCCTCGTCTTTGAAGAATAAAAACGAAATGGGCCTAAAAGAAACAAAAGACCGGAGCGCAGACAGTGGACCACCGACGAAGCAGGGATGGAATCCCGAAGTTTTTGTACATAGAGGAGTCGAAATAAAATAAATGAAACCGTTAAACCAACCCAATTTCCAAAGCGAAGAAGTAAGACGTTGGCCATTTGGAGTGGGTTTTCGAGATGTCATGTTATTGAATACAGCTCTGGCCGGTAATGAAGTTGGCAAGCTGTCGTGGCCTAGGTAGGATTTTCCAAGATTCAAATTTACGGAAGGCTCAGTTTGGATTTTGGAAGGAGTAAAAATACAAATATATAGAAGATAAAATTTTGAATTTTGTATCTATTTGTATTGTAGATTGTACAATAAATACTATGATGTATATCAAAAAAATCAAGATATCTATATCTATATATATATATATATATGAAAATATTATAGATAATTTAATAAATTATAAAAATACATCAATAAATATTAAATATAATGTCTTAATGAGGTATGCATATATTAGATTAATACATTTCAATAAGTTTTAGGAAGAAATACACTGTAATCAGTTACATTTTTCATTAAAAAATCTTATGATTAATTATAATCTACAAATATATTTCTTAAGTTTTTTAAGAGATGGGAAAAAGCTCAATTATCTATCCAACCATAAAACATTGTACAACATGCATTAGCATGACAACTAAGTGAAAATAAACATTGTACAACTTATTTAAAATATACTATAATATATCCAATCATTGTGATTATAACATAAAAATAAAACTAATTATTATTATTTTAATTTTAAAAATATAAAAAATAAATAAATTTTGAAGAATAAATTTCAATTTCTTTATAGATATGATAGGTCATGCATAGATCTAAAGCATATTAAGTCTTTATAGGCAGATATAAAATACATTTTCTTTTTTTTGTTATTTTTTATTTTTCCGAAATCTCTTTATAAAATTTGTATAAAGATTTGCAAAATATGTAGATCAAGATAGATTTAAAGATTTTCAAACATTAAAGTGAAAAAATCACAAGACATTATGAAAAAATTAAAAAAAAATACCTATTTTTGCAATATTTTTCAAAACTTAAAAATTCTTCAAAAATCTTAATTATTCACAATTGTTTCTTTTTTTTTTCTTTTGCAAACCTAACCTTCTAATAATGAGATGTGGAGTTTTAGAGTCATCTAGAAGTGAAAGAATGTTTATTTCATCGGAAAGAAGCCTTCTTTCCCCCTTTTTTTTCGTTTTTGTTTATATCTTTTTCATTGCATATCGACCAGTATGCTATTGATACACCCAATATTCCGATGATACACCACCCATACACCCCGATACGTAGAAAAAAGATGATACCACTTATTTCCCATCCCGTATCGAGCTTCATCAAACATATTGTGTCAACATTTTTAACCTTGGGGTGTTCCTCAAAAACCCTACCCTTTCATCCTTTGGCTAAGGAGATCATCAAAAAATCAAATTAATTGAATCAAGAAAAATGAATAAAAAAGTCTGGTCAATCAAATTGATAATTTATTTTGGCTACGATTTGGTGTTTTTTTTTTTTAACTTAGGATTCAGTCATTTTCAAATAATCTAATGTCAGAGCAAAAATTTAGGGCAACAAATGGGTGGTCAGGTTAACGTCGATGTGTCCAAAGCTAGCTGCTTCAATGGGCTTACTACACATGCACACATTGCTCTAAGGGAATCAACATGATGGCATTTTCGGAAAAGGAGATTGAGTTAGTACCGGTTAATATAATTAATATATTATCTATATATAATATATAAATATATTAGGAAGCAAACAAATTAAATCGAATTTGAGAAGAATTCATTGAATTTTCAAGAGTATGGTTTGAATTTAAAATATCTTATTAGATATTCGATTTGAATTGTAAAAAAAAAAAAATTGATGATATAGATATAAATAATACATTATATTAGTTTTATAATTTAATAATATAGTATAATATAATATACTTATATGAAGGGTTAAATGCTTAAACACCCTACGGTTTAGTAAATGAATAGAAACTTACCCTACTATTTAAGATCTTGGATATTTTTGATAATTAACAACCCCGTTAAAGATGGGCATAAAAGGTAAAGATATTTTACTACCCTTCCGTTAAGTTAACATTTTACTTTTTGATGGTGCACAATCTGGTTGTTCCTAGTTAGACGGCAGTTTGGATATCGGTCTATTCAAGGAGCCGGTCAAATTGTAAGAAATCAAGATTAGAAGACCTGGGGTGGCTTATCTGGCATGGGCACTCTATGCTTAAATTAGTAACTATTGTTTACAAGTTGAAGAGCTTTGTAAGCAAGAAAGCTAGTGAACAATAATTGCGCGTATCTTTTAATGTTGAGGTTGAAGTCCTTATATAGGTGAGTTGTCATAGGTCTTACAAAACACCTCCAAGATCTTCGGCCCGCATTACCAGAAGTCTGTTTCGCACCCGGAGATGGACTTCGTGTGAGCTGATAAGCCTTATCAAGTTCGTCTGATCTGGGCGGGATGAGGATGAGGCTTTGTAGACTTGCGTTGTGATCCCGGAAAAATCGGAGACAGCTGACTAGCTTCTAAAAGTGGGCTACATGTCACCTCGGCAAATTAGGCCATCACAAGCTGCTCGGACCTCGGTCTTAGCCAAGGTGCCCGAGATACCCGAGCTGACCTAGTTGTTTGTAGTGACAAAAAATGCCGAATCATCGTCCCATCAGCAAGTCGTTCCACATGTCTACGTGCTAACAGGTCGGGTCAAATTACCCTTCATCACTTTTCACCACCGAATAGTAAACTATAAAAAAAGACACTGCCCGCTGCAAATCTTAACCTACAAATCCCAACAAAACAACAGGGTAAGTGGGTGAGTTCATTGTAGTTGGGCTAATACTGTCATTCTTGGGGTGGAGTATCGATTTCATGATCCGTGAGTATAAATTTCTACAACCGGAGCTCTAAGCATCTCTATGGTGGAACTTGTAGTGAATTTTCAGAGGAGAACGGAGGAACCCTTGGGCCTTTGATTACAGCTACAATTAATGATGTCTCTGATGACTCATCCAGTTCGAGCTCTTCCGCATCCGATCTGCTGTTTCCACACCACAGCCCTTCGGGTTGATCGTAACTGCAGGCTCCATCTCTGTTCTCATCCCTAATCCCCATTTAACATGCCAATGTTCAACAAGATTTTGCTTATATCAGAGGGTTGCCCTGTGTATTGTGGGAATGCTAGAGAATCTGTGGAGGAGGTTTGCACCTTAGAAAGCCATGAATCTTGCAGAGTCCTTGCTAGACTTGGCAACTGGGCAAGTTAACCACACAGGTGTCCGAAAACACTTGGGGACGCTTCAAGGAACCCCTGAATTTGAGAGAGATGTGGTTAAAGTAAGTTCAGTTTCTATAGTATTTGGTTTTTCAATTCATTTCCATTTTATGAGTTGCAAAAGCAGTGAATAAAGGACATTTAAGTTGCTTATCTTGTGATGAGAATATTAATATATCAGTATGTACAATTAAAGTACAAAATCTAGATGAAACCTAAAGAAAAGGAAGAGAACCATGGCACTGCGGAAATACCATAGCACCTTCAAAAGATATCGGAGGCTACAATTGCCTTGAAAGATGAAGCAACGAAAGCTGTTGGGTTTTGTTTTGAAAATTTAAAATCAATAAAGGGCAAAATCGATCAAAGGGTAGTTTTGGATTTTTGAAAAAGATATAAATCACGTGACATCACATACGAACATATTGTAACGGTGTACTAAGGGTAGGGGAATATTTTGTTCATTGTCATAAATGTTAGGGATACTTTAACTACTAGGGTAAGTTTGTATCCATTTATTAAACCATAGGGGTGTTTAATTATTTAACCCTTATATAAATAATATATAGAGAATATACATATATAATATATAATATTTGGGTCACTTATTAAAGCACCCCTATAGTTTCACGTGTTTATTAAAACCTACCCTATAGTTTATGTTTTATTAAACTTCCCTATAGTTTATGTTTTATTAAAATGGTATATTGACTTATACTGAGTGGAGAATGTTTAAAGGCATGGGCCTATGGTATTTTATTTCGAAAGCACTCCTAGCACTTTATATTGAGCTTTTAAAATGAACCAATGTTTGATTTCCGTATCTACCATATAATGTTGGTTTCAGAACAATGAAGAATAAGAGAGAACAGTGCATTCGAGGTTATTAGTTTGCAACATGTCCTCTTTGTTCAAATAGAGAATAAAATTGATTGAAAAAGAGTTGTTGCCCATGTTTTATTAGAGGCAAGAATGACATTCATTTCTATTTATATTTCCTATAGATTAAATCAGTCCCAATAGACACTAAGATCAAAATTGTTATTTATCACTTCAATCTAATGAAAGGTCAATTAAGTAAATTGGTTGTGAATCATATGGAGTGTTTTAGTAAAATACAAAATATATGATAAATTTTAGTAAATTCATTAAACTATAAGGAATGTTTTAGTAAATGAGCCATAATATTTCATAACTAACTGATCCAATCAGGTTATGGCGAATCGGATCGAGGAATTCAAATTCAATACATTAACTAAATTGATTGATTTTTCCAATTTGATCCAATTTGTTAGGATCCAACCGAATTTGACTCTTACCAGGTTGAATTCAGATTTAAATCAGATGTCTTCCAACTTATTTGCAGCCCTAATACATATTGTAATATACTATTTATTATTTATAATATAGTATATTATATTTATTTAATATATATATAAATATAAAAAACTAAATAACCCAACTGATAACAAACTAAACCAGTAAACTAGTTAACCAATTAATTCATCCTGTTTCGGTTTAGTTGGGTGAGTGGGAGGTCCTCAAATCGATA